TATATATTCAGCAGTAGCTCGCCATTTTACATCTCACCATACATTTCACTTCTTCTCTCCTTCCATCATTCTTAGTGTCAGAGCCCCCTACTGGTAACTGAGTATATGTTCATATTCAGTCCCCCTTGTAAGCAACCCTTCACCATCTTAGCAGTGTATGTAAACACAACAGTGTTGCTGCTGTTCTTCTCCATGCTTGTAGATGTGAGTGTGTGTGTGTATATGGGTGCAGGTGTGTATGTACACTGGGTTACAGGCGCCTTCAGGCCTGGTGGGTGTTGCCCGGCTAGGGGACTGGCCACACCCGAAGCTACACACCTGCCGCTGATCAGGTCTTGTCGGGGGAGCTACTTAGGAGAGTCTTGGAGCTCCCACCGACGCGGGATCATTGCATGAGACTCCACGTTAGTCATCCAGTTGAGCTTAGTTAGTGTGTGGTTATATGTGTCCTGACGGCTGCGTCTATTGTGTCCCCAGGAGAAGTGTGGAGCGCCAGACAGCAGCCAGCACGAGGGGTGCTGAGACACGGACTATTCACGGAGAGACAGGACAGCACGGGGATTTATTCTTGTTTTGTACCATACACTGTAAATAAACGCACTGCTTGTACACTGAGCACCGCGCCTGGGTCCTCCTTCCCCACACCTCCCACGGTTTGCCATGCCGAACCGTGACAGTTCCAAAATCTGAATGTACATGTGTTGAAGGTCTTGTTGAATTGTTAAACATATTTTTCTTTAATCTGTGGAGCAACAACAAAAAAAGCCTTTTAATTTTCTTCAGCTTGAATATCAGCAGGTTCGGCCGGTTCTGAGGTAACTGTTTATAAAACGTTGTGTCCAAAAGCTCTTTGCAGTTTTACATTGAGAAACATCATCCTTACATATTTGACCCTCATAAAGTGCTATGGCCGTCACACTGTCATTTAGAATTGTTTTAATAACTCGTGTCTTAACTCATTCCATCACACAGACAATAAAAAAGCAGCGCGGTTCACTTACATCAC